CGTCTGCGCAGTGTGAAGGAAAAAGGAGACAAGCTGCACAGACAGGCTGTGGAAATGAGAAGCAGGTGATCGGTATCGGCAACAAGAGCCAATGATCGCTGATCACCAATCATGCACTTTTTCACGGAAATTGGCCTGATTATGATCGGTGACCGATCGATCGGCACACCTCTAACACGTGGGGTAATCAAGGGGATGAGACACACCTGGGAACAATCAACAGGGAGGACAGGACAGAGACTCACAGGAAAAGCAGGACTAAACAGGAAATCTCAAAAATAAACACACAGAAATACGGATCGTGACAGTACCCCCTCCTCAAGGGGCGGCTTTCTCTGACAGGCTAAATAAGTCAAAATATTGCTGTTAATTCTTCACTGTAACTTTCCAAATGGCACTCAGAGTTAACCTCTGGTTTGGTCCTCTAGACTCTGGTTGGCTGCAGAAGGTGGTGTGGTCTGATAATGATGGAGGGCGAATCATTGAGGAGTTGCAGCTGTTTCAGGATCCTCAGCCCATTCGCTTCCTTCAGCTCTCCTCTAGAAGCGTAGGTTACAGCTACATGTCTGTAGACTAAATGGACCTGGAGCTAACCTTTGAACTCTGATGATCTGCAGGGTCAGCTGTACAGCGCAACTAGAACTGCTGTTGCTCAGCTCAGTGTGAGGGACTGCAGCCGCTACACATCCTGTGATGACTGCCTTATAGCCAGAGATCCATACTGCGGCTGGGACCATCTCAGAGGCCTGTGTGCTGCTGTTGCTGGTGCTTCAAACTCCTCCATGTACGTCGCACTAACTAAGACATGTTCGCTGTGTGCTACGTTTATAATCAGAGGATTTCATTTATTTGTGGCAGGATCCAGAACCTCATTGATGGTGATGTTGAAATTTGCCCAAGCTTTAATTGCAAGTATTCCCCACATAAAGCTCTTGACACACATTTACCTTAGCGAGGAGAGTAGTAGGATCATTTTTATGGCTGTTTTGGCTTCTCCTACAGTGTCAAAGCAGATTACTGACATCCACCTCACAGTTGACGTCGCACAGTTCCTCCCCTGCTCCCCTGATACCAATCTCCCCGTCAGCTGGAGGTTCTCTGGTAACATCCTTGAGCCCGGTCCCCGACACATTCTGCTCAGCCAGGGACTCGTTTTAACACCTTCCTCCACTGATGAAGGCCTTTACACCTGCGAGACAGTGGAAGTAGTTAAAGGCAGAGAGCACAGGAAGGCGGTGATCCAGTACAACGTTAAGATGGAGGTTTCAGAGGGTGGGGTGAACTGGATTCAGGCTATAGTTACCTACATTTTAGCTTCTGTTTGTGTGGTGTGTGTAGTGATCATCATCTATGTATGCTGGAAGCAGAAAACTCAAAACCATGTTGGCAGTACCAGTGTGAGTGATGCTAGCCATGAGAAACCAAAGATAAAGGCAGGGTCCTGCAACCAAGAAAATCATACCAACTAGGGTGGAAGAGAGGGAAAAATCTATTGACAGATTTATAGTTAGATAACAGAACAACCTACTTCTGCTACACTTTGTGCATCACTACCACCAACTCTGTAAAAAATAAATAATGAAAATGACTGAAGTGTTATCTATGCTTGTAGCTTGGACTTGGAATAAGGCTATGGAGATTAGAACAGTGGCAATATTTAAGAATAAACTCACGTAAGAACACAAAGCAAATGGTTGATGGACATAAATGGCAACAATGAATAAAGAAACGACACAGCACTGAAATAGTGTTCTGCCTCATGTATTTTTAGTATAATTAGAATTTTATGGAAAAAGTCTGCAGCAGCCTCTCTGGAGAGGAGGCAGAGGAAGTGAGGTAACTCAGGAGGAAACAGATCTCCAACTTTAAGGTATGTAAAGAATATGAGTTAGTTTTCCCCCTTGATCTCATGTATGGTCCCATATGGGCAGACAGCAAACTACTTGTTTGCACTAAGGAGTAAGAAAAAGGTTGTTCTATGGAGGCTAAGAAGTAGAGGTGAATACACTGCTTAACCCATGGAACAATACGGAGTTAAACTTGTTTCACAATTATTCAATAAAAAGATATGTAAAAAAAAATTGGGATCAAAAATATTGGATTTGCAAAAAAATATTTAAACCAAAAAAATGTTTAAAAAGCTATTTTTGTAATTAAAATCATTCATTTTGTTTGAAGTGAAAAATGTATTTGCATAACAAACTTATTTGTGCATGTCAGAATTTTCTGGTTGACAGACTAAGTTTTTGGTTGAGATTCTTGTTCTTGGATCTTGGATGAACTCAACAAGTTTTGCTTGCGATTCTTTGGCATTAAATTTGTTTCATAATGTAAGACACATTCCTATTGGTTAGAGCTGAATAAAGCAGGTGCCTCTGACTCCCTGCTATCTCAGAACTTGGTCCCGAACCGCAGGGCTTTCTGCTTCGCTTTGGTGACAGAACACAGAATGTGAATGGTAAGTCATCTTCACAAAATTACACCATTAACAGCTACTAAAGTGTCCAGCCTTTTTTCAAAAACAGAAATCTTGCACAACTTATGACGACAATCACAAGCTGCTGCGGTCTCCATCAGCATATCATGCTAGCTAATGTTAGCATAATGGTAAAGTGCACAAACTGGGCTTGTGTAATATTCGCCTGTCTTTATGTTGAATTTGTTAACCAGCGCACCATTATCAAGTTGCATTAAGTGTGAAAAATACCAAATGTATCTGGAGGAAATATGTGTTGAAAAGTTGTCAAGTTACCATACATTTTATTTATTTACCAAGCACATAATCAGTGAAGTGATGAGGGGAGGCAATATAACTCATATATAATTTCTTTCAGATGCAAAATGAAAATCCAAGCTGGTATATCACAGGCTGAAGGAGGATATTCTCATAATTTATCTTCTTTTATGTGTGTTAATTAATGTGTATGTGTCTTCCATTTAGTTTTGTTTTGAATTAGATGCAATATGCCTTTTGGTGTATTATGTTGTGAAATTAAATTGGTGTTCTCCTAATTCCCTGTTCTAGTGTGACCAGCATAGTGCAGCTGAAGCAGAACAGGCTTGTAGGTATTATTGAACAGAGCGCTTCCCCCAGCTGCTAGAGATGATCAGAACATGAGGATGGAGAGACCAGCAGTCAGAGGTGACCAGGTAGGAAAGTCAGTGTTGCTTTTAAGGGCCTGGTGTATTTGGTTAACTGTATTTCTGTAAGTCAGAATATTTGATGGTTTTTAAACTAATACTTTTATGCTACATTTTTTTTATTATTTTTAATACAGATAATGGGCATACCCTATACTGCATATGCTAGTAGATACAATTGATTTCAGCTGCGTATGTGATACACCCTAAGGTGGGAGAATTTAATCACTTGTTGATAGTCAAGAAAATCTGTTTAAGAATATAAGCCACCACATATATTATTAGTATTGCAATTTATTATATATGTGTTTTTTTGTCGTTTTTTAACAATGAAATTGACCAAAATACCCTATTAAATCAAAAGAAAAAAAAGGGAACCAAAATTCAGACATCGTTTCACCAGGAGGCCTAAAGTGAGGAGCCCCGCCTCCTTACTCTTCAGACAGAGTTTTGGGAAGAAGACGGTGGTCGTTCTTTTTTTTCACTGACGCTGTTCATCTTTACAGGTTAGTGATGTGAAGCTGGTGAAAACTGTCCCCCTCTAAAATGTAAAGTGACAAATTAATTTGGATCTGATTTTTCAATCACATGCATAGACGTGCTTAAACATAAAAAAAACATGATTTTGGCTGGGATCATATAACAGCCATTTTAAAGATGGCCACATTTCAATAAGCTCCGTTCCACTCCCCGATCCATCAATGGTATCCTGACATGCGTTGTACTGTGTTATCTGTTCAAAGGAAATATTTATTATAGACGTTACAATTCCCCCTTACTGTGTAATCAATTTCACTGTACAGTCAGCGATAGAATTATTCAGAGCCCATTAGAACTCAAAGTATGTTTGTTCATCTTACTACGTCCATGTTACATTACTTACATTATTATTTACATAATTAATTATTTCATAATTATTTCATAATTATTACAACTCAAAGAAATTAGTGCCCTTAAAATTTAGCTGCATTTAAGAAATGGGTGTTTTTTATGTAAATCTGTGAGCTTTAAATTTATTGAATTGTTTTGATGTGGCCTTTTGATGCTTTCACAGTTGGTGGGAGCTGATGCTATTCACTGAGGTGAATGCTATGTGGTTGTTTGAGAACAACAGAAAGACACAAGAACATGATTGCACAAAGAAATGTTCATGATTTCATGATATCAAGAATTTGTAATAAAGAGACAGTTTGGGGAAGAAGACGGCGGTCGTTCTTTTTATTCACTGACGCTGTTCATCTTTACAGAGAACAAAGGAGAAGCGGAGAGACATCAAAGGAAAAAAAATAATTTGTTACAATTGTCCACTTCCAGCTGAGACGTGTAACACGTACTTTCAGAAGAATATTCAGCTCTTACTCAGTAACTTGTGTTTACACTTCTGAATGTTTTTTTGCAGTTTACCTTGTGATACAGGAACTGTTTCACTTAAACATTTAATTTCCTGAGATATTGTTAATTCATTTTCAATCAAGACTTTTAAAAAGAGGTTTAGGGCTTATTGGTTTTTGATTATGTTGTGTAGATAAGCATGTACACTTATTGGTATTTTTTTAAGGTTTGCATCATAAAACCTCTTGATGCGTCTCTAAGCCATGATTGAGCCTCTCCGTGGAGTTCACCCAGGACAGAGAGGATCCCCTCAACTCCACTCCATCAACCCCCTAAGATCTTCCTGTTCTTTAATTACCTTTTCCTTGGATCCCAGATCAAATCAAAAGAAACCATGAAGAACTTTCTCTCTTTGGAACTAATAATCCTAATTACTGACATACAAAAACTTTTTACCCCTGCTTTTGAGGTTTGACGTCTTCAGCCAGGCAACATTTCTGCCTTACTTTCAAGTTGTCACCTGAAATCATGTATTAGAAAAAATCTGTCATTACTTTAATCAAAGCTACTAAAGCATACATTCAAATAGTTATTAATAGTATGAACCATGAACCACCAATAATGTTCATTAAGGAAAAGTATGACCAACCATCTTCATGAGACTGTCGTGAAAAGTCAGCACATAATTTCTCAGAAAAAAGAAGGGACAGATTGGCTGAGTACTGGGAAGAGACAAAAAACTCCAGTAATAGCAAGTTGCTTGTAAATAGACTGAGCCAACAGGTTGATTAAAAGACATATTTATGTCTACATTATCTATCTAGATGAGAATGCTGTCATGCAGATGGTGAAAGGAGGCATTTGGCTAAATATAAATACTTGTTTCACTCAGCACTTCTTTCTAGTTATAGCAAAGGAAAAATGAGAAAACTTAATACATGTACATTTTAGCAGGTTATTGGCCTTTATTTCAACATCCTACTTTAACTGATATATAGCACTAAACAGTGAGGAGCTAATGACTGTTCTTGCTGAATTTTTCTGAAATACTGAAAATCTAGATGCTGCCACAAGATGGCAGCAATAGATAACTAACAACTTATTGGTAAACTTAAAATAATTGTCTGATAAATACTGATAAGAGTATAGCAACATTCAAAAAATTTGAATATCAGTATGAGCATCTTTGGAAAATATGTATTAAACTTGATTTATTATGGCTGAATTTCTCCATTAAAATGTTTTTATTGATTTGATGTAATATGCTTATCTTAAATATAAAATTTTCACTGGCTGTCCATCCATCCATTAGTGATGTTTTTGGACTTTGGGAGGAAGGAGTGCCTGGGGAAAACCCAAGAATGGGTTTAAGCGAAAACTGTGCAAAACTGACTATCTTGTCAAAAAACCTCCTATTAAGCACTTTCTGCTTTCAATTATTAATCCAAACATTAAATAGACCTGCTGTATACTATACTGATGCGAAGTAAAACAGAAAGAGCTGAGTTTTTCACATGATGTTAGAAGTACTTTTTTTGCTGCAGAGGGGTCCTTTGCTACAGATGATCAAGCGTTCACTAAAAAAATGCTGTCATTGCATTATAGGCAAGAAAATGTTTATTTATAAAATTATATTTCTTCATTTGCATCTTTAATACTATTTCTAATATTAAAAAAGGCTTAAATGTTTTTATGACTAATCATGAGAGTAATTGATTATTAAATCATTGTTAGATGCAGCCCTACTTATTATAATTATCTTCCTGTTTGTGACTCTTTACAAGTGGTTTGTAAACCAACACTGGATTAATGAAGGTCCAACTGTAAAAATGGCATCATGAAGGTTTTTTCAATATGGTTTAAATTGTCTAAATTTGAATCATTGCTAAGGTTTTTCATAGCTCTTTTAGGACAGG